ACTTACCCCTCTGGAGATAACAGAGGAGTACGAAACCGACGATTCGACAGTGTAGGCACCTGTGTTGTTGAGGTTATTTTCTATATTACCTAACCATAGAATTATTGAACAACAGAGCTACATAGGTCTACTGGTCTTTTAAACGTCTTACTTACCCCTCTGGAGATAACAGAGGAGTACGAAACCGACGATTCGACAGTGTAGGCACCTGTGTTGTTGAGGTTATTTTCTATATTACCTAACCATAGTATTATTGAACAACAGAGCTACATAGGTCTACTGGTCTTTTAAACGTCTTACTTACCCCTCTGGAGATAACAGAGTAGTACGACACCAACGATTCGACAATGAAGGCACTGAAACGCAGGTTACTTTCTTGTTTGGTTAAGGTTGACCTGTTCTTCTGAGGGCGTAATCAAGAGGCAATCAACCAATCTGTACCCAAACAAATTTATCACTTGGTACTTCATAGTTACCAACCGTATCGCATCGTGCGGGACGGTCCCGCATTTTCAAAGTGATTTTGGATGAAACACGCATTTTGCAGAAACACATGCGTGATCCTAAATTAGTCACGCATTTAACACAATTCTGCGTGATAACAAAGTATCACGAATTCAGGGGAAAATATATAAAAAATTAGAAGAAATTGGTTTTATTAAAAATATAAAATGTTTGTGTAGTTATACATAGTTCGGGTGCTCAAATTCAACAGGCCTACTTTGAAACTCAAATTGTACGTGTATTTTTGCTTATGTATCCGTATTATTAAAAAAAAATACTCCCTGAAATCGTTTCAAAATTCTCAGATCGCCGGAGCGGCGTCGGCGTGCCCCTGCCGCTTGGACCCCCCCCCCCCAGTCAAATGGTCACTCACGCATTTCAAATCTCTCACGTTGGTAACTATGGTACTTGGTTTGTTTCCTCCTGAATTTTCCACGAGGGAAGTTAACTAGTAGGTCTATGGGAAGTGGTTTAGTTGTTTTAATTTAATTCAATAATTGCTCTCTAAAAGCATCATTAAAAATTGTGCAGCCATCTTCAATGTTGTGCACTTTGTACTGATGATAGACTGTGGCAGTTCATCACAGGTTTTAATGGTTCTCGGGGAAAAAAAGATGGTTGGTAAACGGTTGAAGAGGTTTTCGGTAGCGTTAACTGATTGTTGTGCCATCGACTGGGCCTTTGAATTTTTGGTTTCATAATCTTAAAACTGTTGAGATTTATGGTATATCTTGGTTGATAATTTTGAAAAGTTGCGTCACTTGATGGGTCTGGATCTCATGCTTGTATTTGAGTGTATCCCAGCCTAATATTAATAATATTGAGGATGTTGAGTAGTCACTGGTTACAAAACTTGATGCCCCATAAAATATATGGATAGAAGATTTAATATATACATCTGCAGCATATACAATTTATGAAGCACTAGCACACACAGCTTACGGACTGACATTTACCAACGTGAAGACTGGAGCAAAGATTGGCAAATGCAATTCCACCCAGAGAAGAGCGAGATAATCTGAATAACTAGGGGGGGTGGGGGATAGAGCATACACGGCATAACTACACCTTGTGTGGAAGTGAAATAGTAAGTGTTGATGATGCAAACTATAGCCTTGGTATAGTACACAAACAATCTGGCTTCATGGGCAGCTACTCTACTGACACATATCTTATCTACCTCCAAGACTACTTTAGAACTCACATACCGGTATCATCGGGACTTCATGTAGGGATGATCCTATTGGACATCCAAAAGGCATTTGACAGTGTCAATCATAACAAGTTATGTTCTAAGCTGCCCTTGGATTCAATTAATTGGTTCAAATCGTATCTTAAAAAAATAGACCTCAGACTGTGAAGATTAATAATTCCTTTTCTGATCAAATGACTATCAATACAGGAATACCCAAAGGAAGCCTCCTAGGACCATTGTTATTTTTGTGCTATGTCAATGACATGCCAATTGCTGTTAAAACCCTTTTTTTATTACAATATGCGGATGACTGTGCTTTAATTTTTGCAAATAAATCTCTTGACTGTTAAAAAAAATTTAAGTGAAATCCTAGAACGGTGCTATGAATGGCTAGTTGATAATAACATGTCGTTACACCTTGTCAAAACCGAACTTATTGTTTTCGGTTCGAATTTTAAAGTTAAAGAATCGATAAATACGAGTATAAATTGTAAAGGTCTAGAAATAAAAGCATCTTCTTTAGGTATTGAACTTGACAATACATTAAATGCTGAAGCTATTGTTGAAGGATCATTAGGAATGTAAGCAACAGACACACATTTTTATAAAGACAAGCTGGATGTTTTAATTTTTATGTAAAGAAAACCATTTGCTCTTCAATTGTTGTTTGCTTATTTGATTATTGTATTGTCTCTTGGTATTCTGGTGTTTCCTCAGGGCTATAAAAAAAAAATTCAAATTGCACAAAACAAGACTATTAGGTTAATTTTAGACAAAGGTCCTATGTACCATATCACTTCCTCAGATTTTAAGAAAATGGGATATGTTGAATATAAACAGTAGAGCGAAACAATAAAGACTAAATCACATGTACAATATATATTATATGTGCCCTGATTATTCACATCACTATTTCACCAAGCTTTCCGATCTTCATCAACATCGAACCAGTACAGAGGCAGTAGGACAAATTTCCATATTCCAAAAGTTTCAGGCAAGATCTCGTCTACATTAATTATTACTTGGGTACGAAAGACTGGAATAGCTTGCCAGAGCCTATTAAATGTACCAGTAAACGTACTGCTTTTAAAATGTTGGTAAAGGATCACCTTCTCTCACATTTACCATCTGTTGTTGATTAGCCTATTTCTCCATATCTGTTTCATATACATGTTGCACATTGCCTTTTTAATCTCACTTATCGATTTATTAAGTTTTGTCTGTTACACGTTTATTGTGATGGACCCCTCTGGAAATAAGTCCCTAAAATGGACTTAGAGGGTTATGTTAATATCTCTTTTCGTGTTTTTTTTGCCGATTTTTCGTCTGTCGACGAGATTTTCTATGTTTGTATGTTAAGTTTAGAGATATTGAATAAATCAAATCAATTCAAAAATCAAGTGTTTATACCATTATATATATGTATATATATATATGTGTATATATATATATATATATAAGGAATATAATAT